GCCATCACAACGGTTCACATGACAGTTATATCCTATATTAACCAACATAACAGTTAAATAACTAACATATAACTAATTAACTGTCACTTATATACTAGTCTAGCTTATAATTTTAACAATTTTTACTTGGTGTGATATAGATGAAAAGGGACCAATTAAGCTGTGGCAGCAAGAGATCCAGAAAGAGAGAGCAGGACATTTCCAGTTGAATTCCTATCGCTCATGGATTTTGCTAATTCAAAACATATGCAATTTCCCAATCTAACAACTTCATCTTACACAAACACCGAATCCAAAAAATTTAAAATTCTCATTTAAACAACACTTATATTACAAATGTCATACAAATATAAAATCCATGTAGTATTAAGCATAAGTACAATATCAGTACTAAAAAGCAAAATATCATTGATGATATACATTCAAGAATTATTTGCATTCTAGAGGATCTATGTGGTTTCTCTTCCTCTCTTCAGGTTGGTAAATCTTACCACAACTGCAACATATATTTTGTCCACAGTTTCATCAGCAAACATGAAAAGCTTGTGTCTCCAGTGCTTCTTGAACAACAAAACTCCAATAACACCCCAAAACCCTGTTGCAAAACCACTCATTATGTCCACATAAAACCATATCTTCATCGGCTCACCAGCTGCTTCATATTTCTTCTTGCTTCTTGTTGATGCTGGGTCTTTGTGATTTGAGCAATTCTTCAGCAATGGAGCTCCACAAAGATCTTTGTTCCCATTGTATATTGATGGATCAATAAGAGTTTGCAATTGACTTCCTGTTGGAATTCGTCCTGACAAGTTGTTGTGAGACAAATTCAAATGGTTTAAAAAAGTCAAAGCTGCCATGCTTGGAGGGATCATCCCGGTCAACTCATTTTTTGAGAAATCGAGAGATTCTAACTTCCTCATGTGTCCAATGCTGTTTGGAATACCCCCACTAAGATGATTATTAGACAAATTGAGACCAATGAGCATAGAAAGTGTTGTGAGCTTGATCGGAATTTCTCCTACAAGTTTATTGCTCGAAAGGTCCATGTTGAAAACTATATCCCAAGTTTTTGTATATTCAAGATCAACACCTTTCATCACCTGAATCACATTCTTATCGGAACTGAGGGTGGCATTACCCAAATTAACTGGGCTGCTCTCAACCATTGCATTCAACTCCCCTAGACAATGAGGTATGCTTCCCGTTAGAAAGTTGTATGCAACATCTAAAATTTGAAGAGATGAAATTTTGCACAAGGATTGAGGGATTCTTCCGGTGAAGTTATTCTTGTGTAACCTAAAAACTACCAAAGATCCAAGTTTTTCTCCAATCGATGCAGGTATATTTCCAGACAATTCGTTATCACCCACATCTAAAACTCTTAAAGCTCCTAAATTCCCCAATTCGTGAGGAAGTTCACCAATAAGGTTATTATCATTCAGTTGTAACCAAACTAATGAAGAATTAAGAGCTATAGAGTTTGGGATGATGCCGGACAACAGATTTGAGCTAAATATCATGGTAAGCAACCCATGTAGATTCTCCAGACACTTGGGGATTTTCCCAGTTATCCTATTTCTGGAAATATCAAGATATCTCAAATCTGTTCTTCTGCACAATGATCTTGGAATCGACTCATTAAATAGGTTGTTTTCCAGAAATAATGCATTGTTAAGTCCATAATCAAACACATCAACAATTCCCCCGTTGGGAAGGTTTGCCAAAGGTCCAGTGAGTTTGTTGTGAGAGAGATCTAAGAAAGGAATGATGGGCATCTTCCGCAACCATGTCGGCAGAGGTCCCGAAATTGAAGTATTAGACAACACTAACTCCTCAAGTTTCCTTTGATTATGAAGCCATTGTGGAAATTCATTTCCGATATTGCAAGAATTGAGTCGAAGAGTTACCAATTGGAATGGAGGTATCCACTCATATGAAATATTAAAGGTCAACTTCGTATTAGAAGAAGTATCCAAGTGCTTCAACATCGAAAGGTTAGCAAAATAGGCTTCAAAAATTACTCCTTCCAAGGAATTGTTTGAGATATCTAGATACTGGAGTTTGTCAAGTTGCCTAAAGGAAACTGGAATAGTCCCATTTAGCAAGTTTGAATGCACCGAAATTGCTTGTAATGAAACAAGTTTTCCTATAGTTGTTGGTATGTGACCCGTTAACGAATTGGATTCTAGATGAAGTTCTGTCAAAGCTGCTAATTTTCCAAAGGATTCAGGAATAGAACCACTCAATTGATTAAAAGAAAGGTCAAGCTTGGTAAGATTCCCAAAGAATGTCGGAATGGGACCCGTTAACTGATTATGAGATAGATCTAATACTTCTAAAGTTCTTAATCTTGTTAGAGATTTGGGGATTGGACCTTTGAGAGAATTGAAGCCAAGATCCAGGTGTTTGATGTTGGAAACTATTCTACTCGAATTAAGAAAAGAACCAAAAAGTCCACAATTCGACAAACTTAACTCTTTTAACGAAGGAATCATGTAAAGCACCATGTCCCAGTTATGTGCTCCACTAAGATTTAATGAATTCAAATCAAGAAGCTCGAGGGACGAAAGGCCAAAAGTCCATGCCATATCACCTGCCATCAACTCTTCGTTTGAACTGAGATCAAGAATCTTTAAATTAGAAAGGTTTCCAATGTGATGAGGAACAATACCTTGAATAAATGCATTAGAGATATTAAGGTAAGTTAGTTGTTTTAAAGATCCAATGAATTCGGGAATCCGGCTTCCAATAAAATTATTCCCATCAAGTCCAGGTATCTTAGATGCCTTAATTCTACAAGAGAAGAATTTACCTCATATCCAGCCAAGTAGTTGCCATTGGAATCAAAGGAGTAGGATGAACCGGAGTCATATTTTCTCAAAAGATACAATTGCAATATCTCCTCTGAGATGCAGCCTTTCAACATGTCCAGTGACACCATTACAATGAATTCTTTCCCACAAGCAACAGTCATTGCCAACCCATGATGACAACATTTTAGACTCATCTCCAACGCTCTCTTTGAACTTGAGAAGAGCAAGTCGCTCTTGCTCAAAGCAAACGACACTGATGTTTCCAACACCTAAACAGGTATATGCATTTGCAACCAAAAAAATAGTTACAAAAATGAGAGAAAGCCCCAAACATCTCCAATTCCCCATTGTCAACCCAAACTCGGTTTGCTTTAGAGAAAGAATTTGAAGTGGAAAGATGGGTGCTAGCTGGTTTATAAAGCAGAAATGAAGAGCAAATTAATTATTGTCATTAATGATTTACTGGACAATTCGTATCTACAACTACAAAGTCAAACTTGCTCTTTTGTCTAGAGCTAAGTTTCTTTTTCTCATGATCAAAATAAGTGGTTTACAAATTACAATAGATACGACTTGGAATGGAGGACTTGTAAATCAATGGACAAGTTGAGTCCACAAGGTCAAACGTGTTCTTTTGTCCATGTTAAATTAAATCCATTAAAGGTTGTGGTTGACCGTTACTTTTTTTGAAATTAAATGAAAGATGGATGACAGGTGTTAAAGTTGTAAACAACAAAAATACAAAATCGTCATTATCATCCATACACATGTATGTATACAAATGTTTAATCTGATATCTCTTTAATCTAATTAACTATATAATTTTAGTAAAGCATATTTAAATCTGATATATCTTTAATCTAATTAACTATATAATTTTAGTAAAGCATATTTAAATTTGAACATTTTTTATATTAATCATATTATTACCCAAACCCAACCCTAAAGTTAATACATTGGGACCAATGCTCATTATTAAAACTAGGGGTGTGCGCGGTGCGGTTTGGTGCGGTTTCGAGTCAAAACCGCAAACCGCACCGCATATGCGGTTTGAATATTTTAGAAACCGCAAACCGCACCACAGATGTTCAAAACCGCGTGATGCGGTGCGGTTTGATGCGGGCTGTTTATGCGGTTTACTTGCGGTTTGTGCGGTTTGATGAGTTGTTCAACATTAAATCTATCAAAAAAACCAAAAACCTGACTGGGTTAAAAAAATTGATTGCTTTCATTTTATAAAAACATATACAATTTTTTAGTTAAATCGTTTTTAATAAATTGTGATTCATGCTACTATAGTTTTATAAGTATCATTTCTGTTGCTTTATATTTTGCCATTATAGTTGCTATATTCTTGTAAACCATGGGATCTTGATCTAATAGTGATTCAATATTACATTATAGATATTTGGTTATTGTAAGAAATATATTTATATACATCGTTTCTAAATCGTGATTTGAAGTTATAACAAAGTAAAGAAAAAAAAAGTATATATAACATGCGGTGCGGTGCGGTTTGAACCGCTGTTTTATAAATACAAACCGCAAACCACACCGCATAGTGCGGTTTGATAAAATGATGAACCGCAAACCGCACCACGAAATTCTAAACCGCATTATGCGGTGTGGTTTGGTGCGATGCGGGCGGTTTGTGCGGTTTTTTGCACAACCCTAATTAAAACATACATTCACACTTGTATTTTCTGTTAGAGATACTTTAGTCTATCCCTTTGTTTCTAGAGTAAATTACACGAATGGTCCCTATGGTTTAAGGTAATTTTTGCGTTTGGTCCTTAACTTATTTTTTTAACTCGAAAGATCCCTATTGTTTGTTTTTATTACGCGCTTGATCGCTGTCTTACATAAAAAGATAATTTTTCCCTTGATTTTTTAATTTATTTAAATAAGCACACCCCAAATCCCACTCACCTTACCTACCTCACCATTTTTCCCTATTTAAATAATAGTCTTTTTAGGTAAGACAGGGACCAAGCACATAACAAAAACAAAGAGTAAGGACCAAGCACATAACAAAAACAAAGAGTAAGGACCAAGCTTGTAACAAAAACAAACAGTAAAGATTTTCCGAGTTAAAAAAATAAATTAGGGACCAAACACGCAAATTACTCCAAACCATAGAGACCATTCGTGTAATTTACTCTTGTTTCTAATATTAAACTTAAGGTAGTGTGTGATTAAGAGTTAAGAAGAGAAAGGTGATTAAAGGTGCATATCTACACTAATAAACTAATTCATATGTCACAACAACATAACAATCAAGTTTACATTCGTGCAAAGATCCTATTCAACCCAAACAATCTGCCCTTATTCCAAATGATAGCATTAGATTTTTCATGCTTCCTGTGTCCTCCTCCTTTGATTGTAGCTTGAGAAGAGAGATAAGATAAAGACTGCACCCAAGAAACAAGTGTTGGTTTCCGTGTCACATCATCTGAATCAGCAACTTGAGCAAATAAGTCATTCAGCACCATGTTTTGTCCATCTTCAGGAAGCTCCACAACCAGTTGTGCTAAAAGCTTCATCAAACTTGGCAACACCTGAACAACATAACAATAACAGATGCCATTAAACCCTTAAATTTTATTAACTTCCGGTTAAAAAGATAAGGGTTAATCTCATAAAAAGACCTTATATTTTGTGTTTTTTTTTGGATTAAACCTCAACTTTATTTTTTTCCTTAAAAAAGACCTTACATTTTTTCAATCTGGCCCTTTTAGTCATTTTTTCCCGGGTTAATCTCATAAAGACATTATATTTATGTTTTTTCGAGACTAAACCTCAACTTTATTTTTTTCGTGAAAGAAACCTTGTATTTTTTTTCATTTTTTCCGAAAAAACCCTCAACTTTGCTTTTTTTTTTTCCGGAAAAAAAACCCTCAACTTTCAAATTGTCTCAGAAAAAACCCTCAGCTTTTTTTGGTTTCTACCGTAAAAACCCTCACATTTTACAAGATTTATCGGAAAAAAATGACTAAAATAGATCGAAAAAAATGTAAGTTCTTTTTCACGAAAAAAATAAAGTTGAGGTTTAATTCAGAAAAAAGACAAAATATAAGGTCTTTTATGAGATTAACCCTTTTTTCCGAAAAAAAAAACTTGTAAAATGTGAGGGTTTTTTTTTGAAAAAACTAAAAAAAATTGAGGGTTTTTCATAAACAGTTATGAAGTTGAGGGTTTTTTTTGGAAATAAAGGATAAGTTGAGGGTTTTTTAGGAAAAAATGACAAAATACAACCTTTTTTCAGGAAAAAAAAGGTTGAGGTTTAATTCATAAAAAACACAAAAATATAAGGTCTTTTATGAGATACCCAAAAGATAAACCAAAATGATACCTGTATATCAACCAGTGAGAGAAGTCTGAGTAGTAAATCTAGAAGCTTCTTACATGGCTCTAATTCATCGTGTAAATCATTCAATGAATTGGGCTCTTTTGGGAATTCACTACAAAGGCTACTTGCTTTTTCCACTAGACAATGAACACAGTAAAATATACAAGGACTTCCAGCAGGAAGATACCTAACCAATGCTGCAACTCCAGATGCCATTCCTTCAAATGGTGTTACACCAGGATACCCCTACAAGTTCAAAAATTAATCAAATTAAATAAATAATCAAGAATCAGTGAGTTTAGAACATTAGATAGTTGGATTTGGATTTGGATTTGGATTTGAATACCTCTAAAGATCTTTGCATGTAATAGTAAACAAGCTGCTCCTTTAATGAAACTCGTTCATCATCATAATCTTTCCCAGAAGAAATGAAAGCTACAAATGTTGAATGTGAGGCTCGAGTCACTTTCCCATTTGGATGTCCCATGTATCTTTTTTTTTTTTTTTAAGTTAAGTAAATCGTATCTAAAAGTATCACTATATTCTTCACAGGGGATGTAATCTGTAAATTTTCTATTAGTCAGGGAGTATTTTTTAAAACAAATGGACCGTTTGCTGTTAAATAAACTCGACACAGGGACCTTTTCTGTAAATTACAGGGACAGTTTTGTAATTTATTTTCTATAAAAGGACCAAACCTGCCAACATAAAAAAATATTATGGCAAAAATGTCAAACCCAAAGCGTATACTATTTATACAGATCGACCATTTGTGTAAAAATTACTGCACAGGGACCTTTTATGTAAAATTACAGGGACATCTTTTGTAATTTATTTTCTACGCAAGGACCAAACCTGCCAACATATGAAATTCAAATTTCAGTGAGTGAAACTTGAACTTGAAAGTGACACTTTACAAAGCAGAGGAGTGGAAACTGGGAAGTGCAATTCTACAAAGTAAGGGCGAAAAATGCCAAGATATGAAAGTCCAGGGACCAAATCTACCCACATAAGAAAGTTTTATGGCCAAAGTCTAAAACCTAAAACTATACTAATCCTACCCAAGTTTTCTTTTTATTATATATAATAATAATAATAATAATTTAAATATCCAGGATACAAAAATAGAATGGGAGCCACGGTTTTTCTGAAAACTGAAGATGGAATGTATTCAGCACAAGTCGGAATCACACGCAAATAGAATAAGATTCTAGAAGTTTGCATTTCATCTTTACACCAAGTAAACTCCATTTTGTTGGAAGAAACTGCAACCCAAAATAAGTATAAAATAAGGGGAAAAAATGTAAAGATGTTATTATGGGTAAAGAAATGTAAATATAAAGTTACAAACTACCATGAACTTTTGTCAAGTCGCCATATGAAGGAATGGACTCAACAAATGAAACACAAGCAGCTTCATTTTCTTGAACACTTCCAGCAACACCTCTAATTGTATCCATGTATTCAGACAAACGCATTCTCCGAAAATACTCCAAACAAGAAAATGAAATTAATATTTTCACTGATATATCAAGTTGAATTTCTTTAGGAATATTCGGGACTAATTTCTGTTTAGTAACAGCTAAAGAGAAAAACACCACCATAAGAAAAGCTGACTCGGTTATCTTCTCCAAATCTTGGAGTAACTCTTCATCTTTTCCCTTGAGAAATAACGCCACCTGGCGATGTGACATGTAAACATCTTGACAAAAGTCCCATATAAGATTCTCCACTTTATTCTTACTACCTTCATTAGCTTGAGCATATTGTTTGCAAAAAACACCAGTTATCACTCCTGCCTCTTTGAAAATGACACTATGTAGGTGTTCTTTAACTTCATGATTTCCTTTGTTACTAGAATTCATGTAAATGTTTGTGTAAAAACGTTTTAGAGGAAGGATTTCAGTTAATATTGCTGAAGTGAGACATAAAAGAAGAGAATGTTTCTCTCTAGAGAAAACATCACCACTTCTAGCTAAAGCTAATGATATGCATTGTAGCAAAACACTATCGTTTCCATTTGTGGAAACGTATTCATTTGCAATGATTTCAAGTCGTTTTTCAGCAGAGCTTCTTAATTCCATGAGTCCAGAAGATATTGACCTGTTGGAAGCTCTTAATGCTCCTGCTGCACCCATGACAATAGAAAATGAAGCATATTGTGATTTGTGGGATTCTAGAATCTCTCTTGAATAGATGATGATTTTCTCATGTGATTGGATACAATTGTAGAGAACCCATTCAACAAGATGTAAGATCATTAGACCATGCTGTACACTACTTGAAGGGCCTCCTTCTTTATTCCAAATTCCAAATAAGGTATCAAGAATTCGAATAAAGTGAATACTCCCTGAAGAAGATAGAGCATACCCTATTCCAGAAAGTACACTTGGAACAAGATCATCAAATAAAGAAACCAACTTGTATTCTTCCTCCATGATTTTACAGAAGAAATCAAGACACTGTGTTCTTGTGGTTTCGGGTATTGAGGGGATGAAAGAAAAAGCACCAAGGAGAAGAAGGAATTCAGTGAAGAATAAAGAGCTTTTATTTGTGACAGATTGAGATGAAAATAGTTGAAAGAGGACATTGATGGAAGAATTAATAAACACAGGAGAGGGTTTAGACGATTTTCTAACCCATATGTATAAAAGCCTGAGAAAGAGAGGGTATGATTCAGAAGGTAGAGATAGGTCTGGTGCTGATAGAATAGCGAGTATAAGCTTAACTTGTGGATCTGCAACATAAAGGGCAATTCCGGAATTTAAGAGAGTCTGTAACGATTGGTAGTGTTGCTGAGTGAATGATTTTTGTTGGAGGGATTCCCTAAGATCAGCCCATGCTTGGATGATGGCTCGAGCTGATTGGGGTGTAGAATTTGTAGAGTTGGTATTGCTGATAGCGCCACTGTTGGCTTTAAGCCATTCTTCAAGAAAGAATGTTTGAGTTTGTTTCGCCATTGTAGAAACTTCACCTACACTTCGGAATTTATAAGTTTGTTAACTCAATTCAGTGAGGGGTTTCTTGCCATCCCTAGAACAGATTCATATTGCGTCTGTGTTGATTCAACATGGATAAACGTCACAGTAATAGTCCAACAGAATCTTACATGGAACATATAAACCCTAGAACCATGAAATTAAGCAGTTTAGAGTATGGAGAAGGGGCCAGAAACAGGTTAATTGTTGAATTAATCAAAAAATAAGATTACCATGTTGAGTAACAATTGGGTCGTCAGCAGCAGAGAGATTAATAAACCAATCCCATTCAGCGCAAAGCTTCAAAAGTGTAGCAGCACCATTTAAAGTGGAAGAAATAGAAGAATATCTTTTAGGAGAAAAGACACTGAATTGACTAACGGATAGGGCTAAAAAGTCACGTTTTTAAGGCGCAGAACAGTCGAGATGAAGAAAATATGGGCTTCTTGGATGGTAGATAGACAACAGTAGTCGGATGAACCGAGCCGAATAGTTGAAGGATCCGGATATGAACTAGACGATGGTGGATGAGTCGGGGGAGATTGGTGGTGGCTTGTTGAGGAAGACGAATTCGTGGTTATTGTATTGGGCGGTGTAGGGATGGTGGTTGGACAGGGGAAGATTGAATCTTTAATTTCTTGAAAAGTTGAACTGGTGGTTATGGAGGTCGGAGGAACGGCTGTTGCGAAGGAATATACTGATAAGTGAGAACTTTTAAGAGAGTGTTTAGAGTTGCTTTTTTAAATTTATTTAGGAAATGGCGAAATAACGATCCTGTTATTGCCTATTGCGTGTTTGGCTTATTTCAAATGATAATTTTTTTCTAAAAAACTTGTTAGCCGATAAATATGTGGTATTCAAATTTTTTTTTTATAATATCTAAAAAGTTTTCAATTTGTCTTATCGAAAAGTTTTCAATTTGTATGGAAAGTCTAAAATCAAAACATTTTGGTAATTTTGGTCTTTACAAACTTGAAAAGACGATTATGTTATTTTATTTTTTTGTATTTTTTTATAATTATTCTAATACTATTTTAATTAAAAAATAAAGAAAAAAGAAAAAAATTATCCCCACCCCACCCACCTCTCTCTCTCTCACACACACACACACACACATATATATATATATATATATATATATATATATATATATATATACACACACACAACCTTTTCTATTCAGATCTTCTCCCCCACCCTTCATCTTCAACCCATCTAGTTGTATCCAAGGTTATAGATGTAACACCCATAATCAGAAAGACCAAGAAAGGAAAGAAAAACTCTAAGTCAAAGGGTCAACTCGTCGAGTCGGAGCGGGATCCGGGGGATCGATTAAGTAGCCGACTCGGTGAGTCGGCAAAGAGGACTCGGTGAGTCCGGTCTGAAGAGGGAAACCCTAAGTTCGGGACTTGGTGCCCTATTTAAACGTCTCATTCTCTTCCCTATGGTTCCTTTACAGTCTCTCTCACCCAGAATACCGAACCCTAGCCACCATATCCATTTTTGAGCAAGATCTAGCCTTGGTGAAGTGATTGGGAACTTGGAAGAGAAGAAGGTTCATAGTGGTGCAAGAGGAAGCCTTGGATACACAGTTGGTGTGGCTTTTCAGATCCTTTGAGGTAATAAGCTGACCCTATTGCTTTTAGATCTATCTTATGGTTGAGATTTGGGCATTTTGAGTATGGAGGAGATCTATTTCGAGTGTGGAGTAGATCTGAGGTTGCTACCTCAGATCTAGGCTATTAAGGATCCAGAAAGCCATAAAGTTTATGTCAATAAGTTGTTGGTGAAGCCCCATGGTCTCAAGCCCTAGCCCTAGAGTGTTTTAAGCTCATATCTCTTTGGGTTCACGTAAAGTTTGCAACTTTACGTGAGGAATAGACTTGGGAAGAGTGGATCTACAGTTTGGAGCCTCAACATGGCTCGAAAAGCCACTGTATGGATTAAGAACTGAAGCGACTCGGCGAGTCACATGGGTGGACTCGGCGAGTTGGATGAAGATAGGCAGGAACTCGATGAGTTGGAAGAACAACTCGGCAAGTCGGTTGAAGTTTGCCTTGGACTCGGTGAGTCTGTTCTTGGACTCGGCGAGTCAAGTCGCGAAACCCCAAACCCTTCGAGTTAAGACTCGAATCAGTGAGTCGAGTGGAGACTCAGTGAGTTGGTCAGGACAGGACACGGAAATCGGTGGACTCGGCGAGTCATGGGCTGACTCGGCGAGTCGAGTCGCGAATAGAAGGACTCTGAGCGTATGAACTCGGCGAGTCAGTAGATAGACTCGGCGAGTAGGGTTGACCAGGAAGGTTGACTTTGACCAGGACTTTGACTTTGACCAGAGTTGACTTAGTTGACTTTCGGAGGGCAGTTAGCTAAGTGTTATATGTTTTGATATTGGTAGCTTGGGGAGCTAGTGGAGCAGCGGTTCAGGGAATTGTCGGTCAGCATCCAGAGGGGTTGCCAGCAAGTTCAGCAGTACCAGGTGAGTTTCCCTTTGTGTGAATGGGTCTACGGCCACAATTCCGGCCCATATAGTTATGAGTAGGAAGACCCGGGGGTTAGCCCTAGGCGCAGTATGCTAGAATATTATTCAGGACCAAGGTCCCATGATAGCGGGCGGGTGCCCAAGGAATGGTTTATATGATAGTTTATACTTGTTGTCTATGTGATACATGCATATGCCTGGTAGGGAGGTGAGTGTGGGCGAGGTCCCGTATCTCACCAATAGCAGAGTGTGGACGGTGTTCCACATCTCATTAGCAGTAGAAGAGGGGGGAGGCCCAAGTTAGGGAAGGAGTGAGTGTGGGCTGGGCCCGTATCTCACTATCAGTAGGAGCGTGGACGGGGTTCCATGACTCATCAGTAGCAGGACGAGGGCGAGGCCCAAGATAGGCGAGGCCTTAGGATAGGGTCCATTAGTATGTGTTTAGCTTATGTGTTGTGATATGCTTATATGTTGTGATATGCTTATGTGTTAGTATATGTTAGCGGGCGAGGCCCAGTGATAGGCGAGGCCTATGTGAAACAGATCTGTATCCGAGCGGGGCTCGAAGCCAGGCGGGGCCTGGAGCGGCGGGGCCGTTGTAGTGGGCGAGGCCCGAGGTAGCGGGCGAGGCCCGGAATAGCGGGCGTGGCCCATTATGTGCAATACGTGTTTTATGCAGGGTATGTGGTAGGTTGGGGGAAACTCACTAAGCTTCGTGCTTACGGTTTTCAGTTTCGGTTTCAGGTACTTCCGGTAGCGGAGGAAAGAGCTCGGGGTGATGGCATGGCACACACCATTGATTAGTCAGCCTGGGATGTTTTACTCTGATAATGTAAATATGTTTTGGAAATGATACTCTGAATTCATGTTATGACTTACGATATGTTTTATGAATATGGTTTTGGTAATGATTTAAAGAAAATTTTTGGTACGAATTTTGGGATGTTACAAGTTGGTATCAGAGCCTTGGTTTGAGGGATTCGGACATACTCTCGGGTGTGTCTGAACTCAAACTAAGGGATTGGTATAAAAGTTTTCAAAATACATTTTTGTAAAAAGAGTTTTGAGAAAGGAAACAGTTTTAGAAAAGCAAAAAGAATTCAGACAGAAAAGAATTTCGATAAGAGAAAAAGGTGTGGTGCATGCAATCAGCCGAGCTCAAGTAAGTACCCCAAAATACCCATACAAGTTTATGTTATGATTATCAATTAGTAGAACTGCATGCTAGATTAGGACTAAGGATCTAGGGAGGATGCCTTATGTGCCTGTTATATGTGCTTTTGAGCTGTATGGTAGTACTGGTTAGACAATAGTAGGGTAGCCTGTTTAGGTTATGCCTGAGTATTTGAGATTATGTTGCATGCTAGTACAGATTCTTGGTATGAGATAGTGCTGGGAGCAGTAGTAATAGAAAAGGGACCTGGTGGAGTCGAAGCAGTTCTTGAGGAAAGTACGGATAGATGTGGAAGGTAGTATGGGCCCGTACTACTGAAAGCAGAGGATCCGTACTCGATTTGAGAAAGGCCGAGATAAGACCGGGAAACTTGTAGTGTGTGTGTATGATCCCTCAGCAGTGATGGGTATTCGGATAGTTATCGTGATATGTTTTCAGCATGGTGACATTGCAAGAGAGGCCAGTGGGCGGATCAGGCGACGGAGAGGGATCAGGCTCGGGTTCAGGGACCGAGCAGCTCGAGGAGCGGATGAGGGAGTTGATATCAGCTGAGGTTACGCGCAGTATCTTAGATCAGACTCCTGTGATCTTTGGCACGGTCAAGGAGGGTATACTGGAGATCTTGGATGAGAGGCTGGGAGCCTTTCGTACCGAGATAATGGCTTTGATGGGAGCGCGTACTATGACATTCCGAGAGTTAGAGCTTGCGGAGCGCCAGATTATCATGGGGCCAGGGACCCCATCGCTAGTAGGAGGTGGTTGGCCGATGTTGCCAATGCATTCCGTACGAGCCGATGTCCCGAGGGGGACAAGGTCAGACTCGCCTCCTGTCTTCTGAAGGACAGAGCGAGGGATTGGTGGGAGGAGGTTGGACATGCCATTGGTGATGATGACGCGTTGGACGCGATGACCTGGAGTGATTTCTCGGCCAGGTTCAGGGCTGAGTTTTCGCCGATTATTGAGGTGCAGCAGTTGGCACGGGAGTTTCAGGATTTGACGCAGACTACTGAGACTGTGGCGGAGATCACCGCCAAGTTCAGGGAGAGGGCCCTTCTTGTTCCGCAGTATGTCGCGGACGAGGAGATGAAGAAGGCCCGGTATCACGAGATGTTGAGGGCCGACATCAGGGAGTTCGTGAGCAGGTCCGGCTGTAAGACGCTGGAAGATATGATTTCTCGGGCTAGAGAAAGGGAGATTGATTTGGAGCAGATCCGGAAGAGGAAGCCGGATGAGGTTCAGGTAGCCACAGGTTCGGGCAAAAGGCCCAAGGGGTCAGAATCGAGATCGAGGGATTACCAGAGCCGCGACCGATGCGGGAGGTGCGGCAGGATGCACGAGGGTGCGTGTAGGAGTGGTAGTGGTGGAGATTCCGGCTGCTTCAAGTGCGGCCGGACTGGTCATCTTAGCAGGGATTGTACTGCTACCACCACACAGGGATCAGACTTGATATGTTTCCACTGCAGTCAGCGGGGCCACAAGAAGGCCCAGTACCCCAGTTTGTTTTCGGCAGGATGGGTGATAGCACCTGCCCCTGCAACTCTGAGGATCACTGACGGCCTTCAGGGCCGAGCAGAGGCGCCTGCGGTTGGAGGCAGGGCTTTTCAGATGACTACCATGGAGACGCGGGCAGTGTCGGACGTTGCAGGTGTGCGACTTCCGTTTCTGTTTTCTTTATGCATGGTTATATTGTTATGGTTCTGCATCATTATTGGTATGAGTATTTTTATTTTGTGCAGCTTGCTTGTGATTTAGTTATATGCCATCTGCATACCTTGGATATTTAAATGGTAGTTAGGGAATGTGCCCTATCGGAGAAGGTCACTTGGGATGCAGTAACTGTAGCATGCCTGTGTGGGACTTGGAATGTCTCGCTAGTTCAGAAATGTATCGTTTAGAGATGGACTGGTTAGATCTCTAGCTATGGTAAGCTTGGGTTCCTCAGCAGATTGATTATGGGATGGTAGCAAGGATCGAGAATTCTTTTCAAGCATTGAGCAGTGAGGTAGAAGCAGGATCGAAGTGGGGGAGAACCCTCCGAGCGTACAAGGGTAAGAGCACGCAGATCCAGAATGAGTACACGGCCTCTAAAAAGGAAAGAAGGTAGCATAGTGATTGATGGATTGAGGAGTTCGGCGTTGGGAGTTTGAGAAACTTCCCAACAGTTAGTTCATGTAACCGAGATGGTTAGTAGCTGGTTGGGAATTCGGGTTGGAGGGTCGCTTGTAGGATTCGAGAAAGTCGGAAGGAGGATTTTGACAACGGTTAGCATGGGATGCTTTTGTGTTAGCAGTCAGTGGCAGAGACAGCAGGTAGAGCATGGTAGAGCGGCGGGAGAGCCGCAACATTTTTTCGTCAGCGGCTAGTGAGTATGGAAAGTGTTGTAAGACTACGGGTAAACGGTAGCATTCCCTAGTAGCTTCGTTAGTGGAGTTGGGGCGAGGCCCTTATCTCCTAGTGATCAAGGTAGGGATCAAGAATGGGTAGTAGTTGAGGATAGTAGGGAGCTTGCCTGTGCAGCCCTAGAGAGGTGAGACCTTGGGAGAGGCTG